TTATATATGGCCACATTCGTTTTTTTAAACTGAATATAAGAATTTTCCTTATGGCTAGCTTTATTTATTACAAACATATGCTTTCAACATCATTACACATTGAGGCCCCTCTTTTAGGTAAAACGATCTATCTTAAATTTTCTTTTTTGAGTTTGGGACTATGTGTTACAACTTATAGAATGCAAAGGAGAGCAAGCACAAGCTTTAACATTAAAAAAATATGCGCGCGAAAAACTTTTGTTTTTTTAATTCTAATTTCGTCGGAATTGATCAAAACTCCCTAAAATGTGCAATTTTTAGAGGAAATTGGCCTACCTCAACAAAATATGCGATTTAAAATTTGAGGTTTTCAGGCACTTTCCCGGGTGAAAAGGGCATTCAATGGGGAAAGATTTTCCACAGATTGATATTTTCCCCTTGTCCCCCGGTGCTTACGCCACTGCGGAGAATATCTGGTGGCTTAGATCAAATGCGCTATGGACACTTTTTGAAGTGGAGAAGGGGTTTGTTCGTTATATCATTATAATTTTATGTTCTTCAAAATTCAAATTTTCTAATAGCAACAAAAAAAAAAAAATCAGCTCACGGGTCCTGAAAAGATAGTTTTAGAATTCTTTTTTTCCTCTTTTGTTGTTGCCCAAGGAAGGGGTCAGGACCCATGACCCCTCCCCCAGATCCGCAAATGTGAATTGCGAGAAAATGTAACTCGGTTGGGTACTGGATAAACATTCTCTTTCCCATCCTTCTCCTCTTTCTTCCCTTCTTCTTTTTTTGCATTACAAAAATCTCCAGATATTATATATTTTTCGCCAAAAAGTGGGGGGGGGGGCCATCGTCGCCTCCTGGGTTCTACAACAGTCGATCGCTTTGTCGAGGGTCAGGTCTGCTCCGGATTCTAGCAGCTTTTCTTGTATTTTTTTGTGTTTGATACCGATTATTAGTTGTTCAATGAGACGCTAATTGTTTAGCGCCTCCTCTGAGAATTTGCATTTCTGAGCTTGTAATCGGCATTTCACCATAAACTCACCGCTGCCACCATGTAAAGTTGTGATCTTGGTTAAATAAAGACAGAAGACTGATTAGAATTCAAGATAAGTTGTTTATTCAAGATGTCTGCCAACTCGCATCATTTGTCCTTTTTCTCAACCGAGGGCTCCCTTAAATAGAGGGCTCACTTTCACTCATGATATTATTACAGCCTGAAGCAGGATATTTTACAGTATTGAATGCCAAAAGTGCTTTTTATCATATCCATGAGTTGGATGATGAATCATCTTACTTGTTCCATTTTCGGAACACCGTTTGGCAGGTACACGTATTTGCGTATGCCGATGGGAATAAGCTCAGCTCCCGAGGTTTATCAACAAGCTATCGAGCATTTACTTTCACAAGCACCTTGCATCATGCATCACCACAAGCATCATGGATCATATCCTAGTAGCTAGTAGTACAGAGGAATTGCATGATGCAAATCTTAAGAAAGTTCTTGAAAGAATTAGAGAGATAAACGTGAAACTAGCATTACACAAAGCGCAGTATAAGAGATCAAGTGTTGTGTACTCAGGACAAATACTATCAAAACACTGAAATGCAGACACCATCCAATACGAGTGACCTGCTTAGATTTTTGGGGATGGTAAAGTACCTCACAAAGTTTATCCCAAACTTGAGTGAGAAAGCAAAACCTCTCAATGATTTGTTGAGGAAAAATCATGAATGACATTGGTACAAACACCAACAGACTGCATTTGAAGAAATAAAGAACAGCATAGCAACTGCAACAACATTAGTATATTTTGATGTGCAAAAAGAAGTTACATTGACATGTGATGCATCCAAGAGTGGACTTTGAGTAGCATGCTAACAAGAAGGCAAACCAGTGGCTTTTGCATCTCGTGCATTAACTGAAGCCGAAATAAACTACGCTTAAATTGAGAAGGAGTTGCTGGCAGTTGTTTTTGGATGTACTAAATTCCATGACTATATATATGGAAAGAAAATAACAATTGAAACGGATCATCAACCGCTAATCTCAATAGTAAAGAAACCATTATCAGCAGCACCAGCAAGGCTCCAGCGGTTCTTACTGAGAATACAGAAATATCAGTACATTCTGAAATACAAGAGAGGAAAGGAGTTATATGTGGCAGATACATTATCTCGAGCATATCTTCCATCTAAAGATGTGAAAGATGAAGGTGATGAGGATGTTGACTATAATTTGTTATCAGTTTTTCCAATGTCAAGTACTAGATTGGAAGAAATAAAACGAGCAACAGATGAAAATAAAGTCCTGAACAAGTTGCGGAGAACAATTCTCAATGGATGGGATAACCATGTAGGAAATATAGAAGTGGATATTCGACCATATTATCCATTTCGTGATGAGTTGATAGTGGATAACGGACTTATCCTAAAGGGACAAAAACTTGTATATGCCAGACAAGCACATGCAGGACATTTGGGAGTTGAAACTACAAAACGTAGAGCAAGAGATGTCTTGTTTTGGTTAGGTATTAATAACCAAATTGAAAAAAAAACGATTGACATTTGCAGCACTTGTCAAAGTCTCAAGAATCACCAGCAAAGAGAACCACTAATGCCATACCCAGTACCAAGCAGACCTTGGGCAATGCTAGGAACTGACATGTTTGACTGGCATTCAGAGACATATTTGGTGACAGTTGACTCATACTCAGGTTGGTTGAAGTTGACAATTATCGGAACTGTCATCAACAACAGTGATTAACAAGCTTAAAGCATACTTTGCCAGATTTGGTGTGCCAGAATGATCATATCTGATACGGGAACTCAGTATCGATCAGCAGAGTTCAGAGAGTTTACCCGGAATTGGGGATTCAATCACACAGCAAGCAGCCCTTATTTTCATAGCAGTAATGGACTTGCTGAGAAAGCTGTACAATCAGGAAAGAGGTTGTTGGAGAAATAATTTAGGGATGGTTCAGATTTCCATCATAATTTGCTAAATTGGAGAAATATTCCAAGAGATACAGTACTTTGATCTCAAGCACAGATAAACCTTTCTCGTCGCACCAAAAATGCAATACCAACAACAGAAGCACTTCTCAAGTCTAAATTGCTAGATCCTTTATTGGTTCAACGTCGTCTTATAGGGTTGAGGCAGTCACAGAAAAATAGTGTGGATAAATCATGTAAACGACTTCCAACACTATCACCTGGTGATACGGTTCGTATGCAATCAAAGAAAGGTAATGACAGGTCAGCGGTAGTAGTTAAATTAGCCAAAGAACCTAGATCTTATTTTGTGAAAACGTCAGAGGATGGCTATGAATATCGTAGAAACCGTCGACATCTACTTAAGTACTAAATTCCAGGAACAGGCCAATATGCAGAACAAATCACAGACATCAAAATCAATACAGTTAACAGATACAAGGATTGGTAACACAGAAAGAGGAATACAACATACACATTCAGAAGATACTACAGTCCAGAAACGAACAAGAGGAGGTAGAGCAGTTTTATGTTGAAGTTATTCATGTTTAAAGTCGCCTCATTACCCATAAGATGCTCCATAAATATAATCATAGTTGGAGAGATAGCTGACATTTATTTAAAGTATTGAGTGCAAAAGGTTTGAGTGTGCAGTTCTATTGTACTTTGCCTACAAATGAAGGAATGGGGCATCGTAAGTTGCGCAATCCTGGGGTTTGGTCCCTAAGGGTCCCAAAAGTGTGACCCAAAAACCCATTTAATTAAAATTTCGAGTGCAACATCCGTTTCAAGTTGATTGCATTTAGAATAACCCTCAAAATAAAGGGGCGCAACTTAAGACGTGAAAATGCCTGGCATTATTAATTAAGACAGACTAATTAACGGCTAATTAACGATTTAATTAAATATTCGAGTGCAACAAAAATTCTTTTTGCAAAACATAACTTAGTAACCCCAGACATTATAACCACAACTTAAGAAATGATTTTTCCTGGGGTTTGTAGATAAGATGGGGTGGTTTGGCGCCGAGGGTTGAGAACCCTTAAAAATAGACTTCTACAAAAGAGGTAGTGCAACAATTTTGATGGCTGTTATGGATAGAACAGTATTTCAAATGGATTGTAATACAACAGTAGTCTTTCCATTTCTTTTTCTGGCAACCTGTGGAAGAGGCATAGCAGTCAAATAGTATGGTAGTTGGGGTCTAGCATTGTGAAGATTGATGCAGCTTCTGCCCCGAAAACACCTGAATCACAGCAGTCGGGACATGGACTTGATAATTCGGTTCAAGATGAAAGTGTGTCAAGTACACCCATGGATAATGCTGGAGATTCAGCATCAGGTAAAAAAAGGAATCCGATTCCCTGAAATGATACGTAGGCCTACCTGTATCCAAAATTCTTTCTCAAAGAAGCCTTGACGTGTCGGTGGATATCATCAGTCCAAATGCACACCTAAGTCAGGAACGTAAGTCCTAAGCACCAATAAACCAAAGCTACGTTTCATTGCCGAATGTAGTAATGTGGTGTGTCCCTTTTTATTTTCAGAATCTGGTAAAAATTCTAAGCCATCTCGATGTATCGTTCATGTCATGGAGAAAGAAAGTGGCCCCTTACTACGTGTGACCGATGACAGATGGGCAACAATTCGTAAGCAGCTACTCGTAAACAAATGACAAGATACGAAAAATCAAAATACCGAGCTGTGGTCGAAAGTCTCCCTTCAGCAACCACTGCGCTGGATGGGTATCATCGACACGGTGCTATAGTGCCTTTACTGCCATCCAAGTCAAGAGTGTTGATGACCAACAAACTTCCTGTAGTAAAGATCATCAACAAAGTCACCAGTGACTCATGACAAAGAAAAATCTCGCTTAGGTATTTTTGAGAACAAGTGTCTTTATTGTGACAAACAATGGAAAACTC